TGGTCGGATTAATGAAAAGGCTAGAGTCTATTTTGTTTTGTTTACTGTGATTGTCGTATGACTCTGAAAGTACGTAGTCGCTTTGTTAGTGCATTTTCACATTGCTATCATTGAACAAAATAATTATCATGTTTGTAAGCAAAGTTGATAGTTAATGTGGAATAGTGAGCCATGAATTTAGACCTTTTTATCAATTGGCTGGAATCATCCTCCCTAAAAATTCTTGGAATATAGTAATATGCAAATTGCTTTATGCTTCAACCATCGAAAGACTGTTTTGAAGGCTTGGACAATTATCGTAAGGTTTCCGTCGACCGACCGGTTCTGCCACTCTACGATCTATAATGAATATGTCACAAACAGATTGATATTTCGGCTACAAGCAAAGAATCGTCCAAAATACAACAGGTTGTAAATGAGTCAATCTTCCGTGGTGTCGCTTCGATGTTTAACTTACATTCACTCCCCTTAACACAACTTTTGGGATCATATTCTCCTTCCTTTTCTCTTTTCTAGTCTTGTTTTCCAGTGTTACGTATCTGTACGTATTGCACTTCGTTGAACTTCGTGTCATTCAATGGAGAGTGTTTGGAAGACATGGGGTGGGTTACGATGTAACTTGGAGAAGTCGTTGGTGCTAGTCTATGCGCTTTAGTAAAGAACGAGATGCGTGAATCATAGGTTGTGTTTGAATGAATAAAAGCTAGTACGAAATGGGCAAGTCGTATTTAAGGTTATGTTAGCGCTTTCTTAATACAGAGGTTTTAGTATTTAGTATTCACTATGTAGTGGTCTCATCCATCACATTGTATTACTGGGACTAGTAATTTAGAAACCAATAAATTTGTCTTTGTCAGAGATATGAGAGTGTTTGTTGGCTAATGTTGTTTTTATTGTTGCTGCGAATTTACTTAGATAATATTTATCACGTCATTTTTTTTAGCTTGTTTCCAAAGGACGGCGGCAAAAGTGTCACTTATGTGTTTTGGATGCTTTACGCCCTGCCGGTGACGATCGTATCGTTGATCCTGACCTGGTTTATCATGCAATTTTATTTCCTTGGTTTCATGGCCACCATACGAGGGTTTCTACCATCGAGGAAGAAAAGCAAGAATGATAAAATCTCGAAAATGATGACCGAACGCTACGCAAACCTGCCGCCCGTCAGCTATGCCGAAATTTCAGTGGTCATACTGTTTAGCATTCTGTTGGTGATGTGGATTTTTCGTGACCTCGGAACGTCTGGTTTTAGCGGATTTGGCATGCTTTTCAAACCGGGGTAAAATTCATGATTTTGACATCGTCATAAGTAGTGCTCAACCGATCGGTTATTTAATATCCCTTAGATAAAGTTGAGGTCTAGCGTTTTCAGGCTTGCAGCCTTATATAAAACCACATTTTCAATGGACAGAGACCCGAACAAGTTTAAAGCGCAAGTCGCTGAAAAAAAGGTTTTCGTGTATTTTCAAAATCCGTTGTTGTTTCCGAGTCGTTGGGTCACAAAGAGCAGTAGAGGGCAAAATCAGTAAAGATTTGAGATGTTCATTTTGCGGAGAAATGTAGGTACGAGATGCGCTCATGTAGTACAGTTGCTGAAATCGGGCTGTAGAGTTGGTCAGGTGGTTAAATGGCCCAGTATAACTTTAGAACTGCTCGGGTAAATAAACGTGTAACTTGTCACTTAATTTACGTGTCATAACATAATCTAACACAAGCTTTGCTTCTTTGATTTGGTCAAAAAATTGAGGAAAAGGACATCAACCTCATTTTGGTGCACCACCTAAGATATCATCGTTATCAATTCACTACTTGATTAAACCACCGTCCCCCCTCAAAGACTTTGGCGCATGACTTCAATTGACTCATGTATGTGTTCAGATACTTCACGGACGGAACTAGCGCTGTGTTTATTTCCTTGTTGCTCTTCATCTTACCTGATCGAAAGCTATCGTTCACAGGTGAGTATTTATACTTAGTAATGAACGCCGCCCACCTTTTCTGCTTGTAGACAGTGGTAGCAAACAAGCAGTTAAAGTTGGCACTTTGATGGACTGGGCCACGATGAAAGCAAAGTTTCCATGGAATGTCGTCTTTCTGCTAGGAGGAGGTTTTGCACTGGCCGCAGGAGTTAAGGTAATTTCATCTTATATTGGTCACGTGATCACACCCGTTAACGATGACGGTATCGTCACCCATTAGCAATCATCAAGCTTTTTGCCTTGTGATACCATAGATATTTCTACCATACCTATCAACTGTAAAAAGCAACTGTATACACGAAGTACAAGAAAGGAAGTAGAGAAATTAATCTTGAAGGTCCAGATTGAAGAGAGTGCAAATTTTGAGTCAGTGACGTGTTTTAGCCGTTGTTTGTGAACACTATGTGATTTGTGAGAAAATTTTAGGAGTCTGGCCTATCAGTGGCCATCGGCAACCTATTATCATTGATGGGTGGCATCCCGGTGTTTGCGCTTCAGCTGGTGTGCATGATTTTGGCCATTTTGATGACTAACATAGCCAGCAACGTCGT